AAGAAAGAAAAAGCCGAAATTTGAAATTAAAACCGCCAGCAAATGGTGGCAGCAAATCACTGTTAATAAGTGAGTCATTGCGATTGAACCGAATCATTTAAACGGTTGATTCATTCAAGAACGAAACACCGTCATGTTGCTCAGAGACACAAAACAGCGCTGTGGCTGTATTCGGGATGATTTTTGTTGGCGAAATAGAGCAAAAACAAGCAATATGGCGTCTAAACGTATGTAAGTCTCTTAATTAACTTATTGTTTATTGAATTCAATGTCACATTTGTAATCATGGTAATTTTTGGAGAAAAACGGCACTCTTCGTGTGAAATTGAATAACTATATGAAGTGGTATAAATATATAAATTTTCTGCCATCTTGTCTTGAATTTGTGATCATTCTAAATTCATTTTAATAGACTGAATCATGCAGTGAAAGAAAACACACTAAATGCGCACAGGCACTAGTCTAGACTTCACGTGATGTATGCATGCGCTCTGTAGGGATGTTTTGAATGGTTTTTGCAAAATACTCGATAATGTCAAATCGCACATCGTTAAAACAACAATTACGATATTATCGCAGACGATATATATCGCACACCCCTACCGTGGCATTACCAACACCTTGCGCTACTGCTTCAGCTACTGGAAAGCAGTGATTAATTGTCATAATTTTTCAAACATCGTAATTATAACACATTTTGCTTTTCTTTCTGTCCCATCACAGACGACAGATCTGGAAACACTCCCTTGGACACATTGCTCGCACTCCTACAAGCAGAAGGGGCCAAAATCGAGGAAGAAACTGAGGTACCTCCATTATCATAAAGCCTTAACACTTTTTTGAAGTTGCACTAGATATCTGCTGAAGATTGTTCAACATCTGATGTACTCATTAGTCAGTGATCATGCTATTATTTCTCTCTTTTTTTCCCTCCTTTTCGAATCAGAACATGGCCGATTCACTCCTCGATGGTGCGACCCCCCTGGACACATTCATTGACGAGTATCAGAGTAAGAGGAAGCTGGCGCACATAAGGAGAGTCAAGATAGAGAAGCTCCAGGAAATGGTGCTGAAGGGACACCACATGGCCCTGGTTGCACCTCAGCCCTCTCGCTCTCAGGACCTTCCCTCCAGGCCAGCCGCTCTCCATATAGAGGTCAATGGTTCCCCCATGCCGATGCCCCGGCGGGCTCCTCCTCTTCCCCCTGTCACCCAAACTCCTCCTGCTCAGCCCACCGCAGCCTTCTCCTACCCTCCTACCTCTCCGTTCGCTGCGGCCTCTCCATTCACACCCACTTCTCCATACCCCCCTATTCCCCCTAGAGTAGGAAACACGCCACCCATTCTTAACCAGGGATACCCCAACATGTACATGCAGCAATATGCCCCACCCGTGCCCCAGAGACCCCCTCCACGTATGGCACCCCAGCCAGGCTTCATCATGCAGTGAGCAAGGGACATTACGGTCTAAGGAGAAAAAACTAAATGCACACTGGACATTAATTCAAGCCTTTTGTAGGTCCTTCAAGCTGCATGTTATAAAATATTGTGCGCCAAGTTGGAGTCTTGTCAAGTGTAAAATTAACAAGACTTTTCTGCAATCAAAGGGGCATCTGCAACAGGATCTTCAATTTGCACTTTAGACTACTTTTGTATTTGATCAGTCATGGCTGGTTTTGAGTCATGCTGTTCCCGTTCTGCCCTTCTCAGTAGCATTAGATCAAGTAAAAAAGTTTTACATGAGCCTCAGGGGCCTCCATGCATAATGAAGATATCAAAGTTCAAGAACAGGCGCTCTTTTAGGCCATCTAGACAGTTAGGCTGCACGATTAATCAAAATTAAATCGCAAAGGTGATAAATCGCAATTAGGCAGAAGCTGCGATTGTCATGCGTATCTTTCAGTGAAGCACGGTTCTGTGATCAGCAGTAAATCTCCATCTGAAGGCCAGAGGGCGTTCTCGCGCTGAAACTCCAAATACACCCCACAGAAGAAATCAGGAATAAACAGAAGATTTAACTGCTTTCATTGATTCAACGTGACTAATAAACACACGACTACGACAATATATGGTTTATCTGAGTTCGTCTTATTATAATTTTTATTATAAAAAAAGTATATAATAATGCAATGCTAATCGACATAGCCTTTATCACTGCTTAGAATACTATGAAATATGTTGCATACCTTATTCTTTGTAAGAAGCCACATCATCTCACAGAACGATTTATTTCAAACACTGGATTGACGTTATGAGGTGAGTTTGCAGTTATTAAATGTGGTA